AAAAAAAAAAGAGAGACAAATTCCTTTATATCCAAAATAAATAAGTATTACAATAAAAAACACACTTTAATGGAAGGTAGAAAATGATTAACTAGTTAGTAAAAATTTTAAATATAATATGAATGACATGCTTTTTAACTAAATGAAAAGGTAAATTTAATATGATATACAAGAGGAGCATGATACCAGCTAGTGAGCTATACCAGGAGAATATTTGATAGAAGTTTTATTATACAATTTGAAGAGAAAATCCTCCCAAATGAAACTTTGGAGGGAAATCCCTTTTCTTTTCAAGTTTTCTTAACTAAATTGGTCTTAAAGCGTACAAGTCATTCTCAAGTTCAATCTCCTATTTATCTCTAGATTTGATCCATCTGAAAATTTCCAATGCTGCTGAAATCAAGGCCAAAATTCCAAGTATTCCCACATACACCCACCTCCATTTTTCTTCATGACTTTGGTGGCTAATTCCTTCAAATATGTTTACTACAATCAGAGCTATCAATGCATATCCCATAAGATGGTGGTATATCTCCCAGCATCGGCAATACAAGTCTTCCCTCTTTGTTTGCATGCATAGGGGAAACATCTGAATCACCAAAAGAAAGACATTAGTTATGTTCAATGGACTCAGGATTAAGTACGTGTCTGACACAACTGCTTTATTGCACTTACTTGTATGGTACCAAATGTAAAAATAATGATACCAAGAATGCGATGAGTCCTCAAAGTGTAATGTTTGGAAGAGTTGCCAAGCCAAATGCCAATGCCCCATCCCACCATACCCAAAATGTAAGCTGAACTTTGACACAGAATATGGAGAGGATACCATTCCTTGCACTTCAACGGGAATTTCTTGAAGTACCTAGCAATAATCACTCCAACGGGGAACAGAAACCCCCATCCAAGGATGCTTAGAATTCCATGCATCTGTTAAAAGGCTCAAGAAATTAAGACTTGCCAAGATAGAGCTAGGAAGGCACAAAAACTGCATTTCTAGTGGCGATTAATTAAGCAACCTTACATTCCTCAAGTGAAGTGGGCGATGCAAGACTCTTTGACCCTTCCATGGCCTAAGGCCTGGTGAAGTTTTTTGTATCTGGTACTCTTCTGTACCTTCAAAAACCGTCTCAACACGCGAATCTTGATCTTGTGTAACCATTTTCGCGACGGAGGTTCCATCATTGTTTGAAAAGACTGCAGACAGGAAAGGAATAATCAGACTGAGGATTATCAGGCAAAAGGAAGTCATGATATGAAGCTGGAAATTAGCAGTTTCTTTGCCCTTTATAAATTTGATAATGTTGTGCAATGTTTTCTTTGATAAAAATTTGATGTAGAGAATATATTCTTTCCTTACTAATTGGGGAATCATGTCTCCGAATTGTTCTAACAGCATTACACAATCAGATATTGTTCTGTTCTTTTTCTTTTTTATTGTCAGCTCCCCTTTTCCGTTTCATTTGAGAGGATTTAGTACAAATTTTCACTAACATATTGAAAGATGAAGTTGGCTAGTACAATTCAAATTATACAACACCCAAATAAAAATAAATAAATAAGAAGAAGAAGAAGAAGAAGGTTGAAAGGGCCAGCAGACTGTTGTGATCTGATTTTACTAAATAAATTCTGTAATTTAATATGTATCTACTTCTTTATTAACATTATATATATATATATATATATCAATCAATTTATTTAATTCATAAATTTGCAGCCTTTCTTTTTGGGTCTTAATGACAAATTGCCAAATTGGTGTGGGGAAAGGAGGAAAAAAAAAAAAAAAAG